CATCTGATGAGGTTTCTGTGGTGTCCCTGGTCTCCAGCTGTATAATCAGTGCCACCTGAGTTGGCAGTAGTCACCACAGCTGGTCCAATGTCCACTTATTCCACATCGGGCCATACCAAAAAAAAAAAAATGTTTGACTTCTCCCCAGAGCTCACTGAGGTATGCAAGGCTCATGAGCCCAGACAGCCCAGGCAGCCATCTCCACTTCTCCATGAAGCCCTGGGGTGGCAAACTGTGGGTTGTTTCCTCCCCAAGCAACTAAATCACGTCATCAGACTCACAGGGAATTTCTGTATTCCATTCACCTGGAGTATGAACCCAGGCAGAGGGTCCCTTTCTTGTCACCCACAGACCTGTCTAGCTTTATTGCTGTTCTCTCCCTCCGTTTTAGAGGTGGTAGTTAGAGAAACGTGATGAACTTAATAATATACATGTGGCACCATAAAAAAATACGTGAACAAAAGTTAAATGGGATAACTCAGTTTTTTAAAAGATTTAGAAATAATTTGAAGGAAAGGCTCTCATGAAGTGAATTTATTGAATTCAAGGATCATAAAAGATTTCAAAGGATTTTAATGTTGTTTACCTAACTGGCAATAGAACTATTCTTATTTTATCAGTTTTAATTCTGGAAATTACTAAAGGATATCTAAAGTTCCAAAGTATGGTGAGCCAAATTCCTGTTCTTGGAATCTGAGTCACCACCTCCTGTTTACAGTGCCAACCTTCCTCAGTCAGTAAAAAGCATCAAATAAAAACCAGAACCAGGACCTTAGATCAATTTTCAGTCCAGAGAGCATTGCTCCAAACTTAGAGTAAAAGGTACATAAAACATATAGAAAGCATTATAGTAATATAGTGGGTCCCAAAACAAGATTAAACATCTTTCGAGCCAGAAATAGAATAGAAAACAGTGATGAAGTGTGGATCTGCTGGGCTCTTGGCATGAAACAGGCAGAGACAGCCATCCCCGCTGACGGGTGAAGGCCTCAGGACTTGAGTGAGTTGAGTCGAGGCTGAACCGAAGTTACCTCGATGCTTTTGACAGTTTATAAAATTAAGAGGCTACAGAATAATTTATACTGATGTGCATCCTAGTGTACAGATTATAAGAAACCATGAGCTTGCGATTGGGGGTGGTTGGGGTGGGCCAACAGGAACCAAATCATCCATGTGCAGGTTCAATTACAGATATATCTGCAATATCCCCATAGGAAAGAAGTCCCCAAAAAGCCACTATAAGACCTGGTTTTCACGGAGTCAGATGCAGTTATTTAGGGAAAAGTGAGAGGAGGGTGGTGGAAGTAGGGAGATAGAAAAAAAGAGAGAGAATATGAGAATAGAAACAAATAACTTGAATAACTTTGCATACCAAAGTTCCAAAATACGCAAAGAAATTGACTGCTAAGTAAAACAGTCAACAAGGGACGCCTGGGTGGCTCAGTCATTAAGCATCTGCCTTCGGCTCAGGTCATGGTCCCTGGGTCCTGGGATCGAGCCCCGCATCGGGCTCCCTGCTCAGCAGGAAGCCTGCTTCTCCCTCTCCCACTCCCCCTGCTTGTGTTCCCTCTCTCGCTGTGTCTCTCTCTGTCAAATAAATAAATAAATAAAATCTTTAAAAAAAGAAAGAAAGAAAGAAAAACAGTCAAGAAAATCAACAATGTCGTGAATACACTCCAGATTAATTTCATAGAATGGTTTAATAAAGTCTTTAAATATGCCTAAGACACTCTTAGTTATAAATGATGTAAAACTTGAAGAATTTATGAAACAAAAAAGGAATAAATAAGAGGACAGGTAGACTTTTAAAGAAACGGTGAAATATTATAAATGAAAGTTATGGAAATTTAAAAAAATGATAAACGGGCAAACCCTGAACTTGACACAATCAGAGAAAAAATCCAAATCGGAAATTAGTATTGAGGAGTTTACATAAAATATTTCCCAAAGAGATAAAGGGTAAAAATAATGAGAGACCTGCTATTACAGCAGTTTGATTAAGACACTCCAACATACATCTATTAGGAATCCCAGAAAAAGTGACTAGAGGAAATTGCAGCTAAGTAATAGTTGACAGGGTAATAGTTGAGAATTTATCAACATTTAGAAAGACATGAGTCCTTAGTCGGAAGACACATCTATTAAGTTGCTACAACATTGTGGGCAAAACTACAGAAAATTGGGGATAAATAATCTTATAAAAAATGTTTTTGGGGGGAGAGGGGCAAAGGGAGAGGGAAAGACAGAATCCCAAGCAGGCTTCACGCCCAGTGTGGAACCCAACACGGGGCTCAGTCTCACAACCCTGAGATCATGACCTGAGCCAAAATCAAGAGTCAGACACTTAACCGACTGAGCCACCCAGAGACGCCAGGGATAAATAATCTTAAAAGCTATTAGAAAGAGGGATGTCTGCCTTCAGTTAAGCATCTGCCTTCAGCTCAGGTCATGATCCCAGGGCCCTGGGACAAAATACCACATCGGGCTCCCTGCTCAGTGGGAAGCCTGCTTCTCCCTCTCCCACTCCCCCTGCTCGTGTTCCCTCTCTCACTGTGTCTCTCTCTGTCAAATAAATAAAATCTTAAAAAGAAAAAAAGCTATTAGAAAGAAAAGACATTGACTACAAAGAAATCTCAGCTAGATTGGCAACACACTTCTCATCAGCAACAATAAAACCAGATGATATGAAAATAATATTTTAAAAGTACTACAGGAAAATAACTAAGCTCAAATTTTATAACCATTTAAGTCATCTAAGAGCAAGGGCAAAATAAGGATATTTTCAGATACATAAATTAAAATGTTTTACCACCCACAGACTTCTATTAAACTATAGTAGGATATACATTAACAAAAATAGCAGGAGGGAAATTTGGGATATAAGGAGCAATAGTTAATACAAGAAACAAAAAAGTTAATAAAATTTGATTGTAAAAGTTAAAAATATTTTAATAGAAAAATTTTAATTAAAAAAATAAAACTAAATCTTTGAACAATACTACGATGGGGGTGTCAATGGGCAGTTAAAACTTCCTAAAATATGTATCATGTTTGGAGGAGGAGAGAAATATAAAATTCACTTAGACTTTATAAGGAAATTCATAGTTATGAATGTTTCTAAAAATTAATGATAATCACTAAAAGAATAGAAATAGATTTTACAGCTTTTAAATTAGCAGAAGTAAAAAGGATGATAATGAAAATGTTAGCTAAACAAGGGAAACATAAAAAGGGGGACAGAGAAAGAAACGGTAAATGGAAAACACAAAAGATTGTACAAACAGTTCCAAATATATTAAATCAAAATAAATATAAATTGATTATTTTCATCAATTAATTGGGGAGATGTTTAATGGTACAAATTTGTAACTAGTAGATAAATGAGTCCTGGAGATCTGTTGCACAACGTAGTGATTATAGTCAACAATACTGTATTATAAATGTCAAAGTTGTTACAAAACTAGATCTTAATTGTTCTCACCACACAAAAAAATAATTTTGTGATGTGATAGAAGTGTTAACTAATGCTACAGTGGTAATTATATTGTAATCTATAAATGTATCAAATCAACACATTATACACCTTAAACTTACACAATGTTATATGTTAATTATATCAATTAAAAAATATTTCCAGCATGAGACACATTAAATTAATTAATTAATTAATTAATTAATTAATTTGAGAGGGCACGAGAACTCATGTGAGTGGGGATGGGGGGGTGGGGGCAAGGGCAGAGGGAGAGAGAGGGAATCTTAAGCAGACTCCACACTAAACACAGAACCCATTGCAGCGCTCGATCTCACGACCCTGAGATCATGACCTGAGCCAAAATCAAGAGTCGGACACTTAACTGACTCAGCCACCCAGGTGCCCCAACACATTTATTTTTTTTTAAGATTTTATTTATTCATTTGAGAGAGAGAGAGAGAGAGAGAGGATGAGTGGGGGGAGGGACAGAGGAAGAGGGAGAGGGGAAGTAGACTCCCCCCCGCCTTCGCCCCGAGCGGAGAGCCAGACACGGGGCGCCATCCCAGAATCCCAAGATCATGACCTGAGCCAAAGTCAGACACTTAATCTACTGAGCCACCCAGGTGCCCCAAATTTATTTTTTTTAAGTAAGATTTATTTATTTATTTATTTATTTATTTTAAAAGTAAGTTTTAAAATAAAGAATCCCAAATAGCCAATAATCTGGGGGGGAGGGGGAAGAAAATTAAAATAATGAGAAACCATGTAAACACCATCTGAATTGTCAAAAATTAAAAAGTGTGATTATACCAAGTGTTGGTGAGGCTATGGAGCCAGAAGAAGTCTAATCCGTAGCTGGTGGGAATATAAATGGGTACAATCCCTACGAACAACAACTCGGCAATATCGAGTAACTATAGATAATATAGGATATTCACCCCCACAATTCTACTTTTATATATGCCAAATATATTCCAGAAGAACATGCAAATGTAAGAAGAGACATTTACAACAATGTTTGAGGTTGCATACATGAATTCTTATGTAGTAATACGATGGAATACTATCAGCAGATGCAAATAATAAATTTAAACTGCAGATGATAACCTATGTTTGTGGTGAGAGAATTAAATGTTAGAGTGATAGTACGATCTTGTTTATGTTTTGTTCAGAAACCTAAGAGGTACTGTACATTATTTATTATTAAATCTATATCTGGGGTGCCTGGGTGGCTCAGTTGGTTAAGCGACTGCCTTCAGCTCAGGTCATGATCCCAGGGTCCTGGGATCGAGTCCCGCATCGGGCTCCCTGCTGAGCAGGGAGCCTGCTTCTCCCTCTCCCACTCCCCCTGCTTGTGCTCTCATCCTCTCTCTCTGTCAAATAAATAAATAAAATCTTTAAAGAAAAAAAAGATAGCACAGGTTTGCAATAGGGGGACTTTATAGTTAGTCCAAAAAATTGTATAATCTGCAATGATGGACTACTCTAGGAAGAAAAATAGAAATGTAATCATTTTCTTCTGTTTCAGACACATGTATGACCACTTCATTAACCTCTACCCGCAGTTGATTAAGAAACCTTCCATCGTGGATAAAGTGCAAGATTTTATGGAGTATGTATAATAGCTTTCCTCTTGTTATTGAGACTGCAGGGCCTGAATCTGTCATTGCAAACAGCAATTTTTCCTTTGCCAATTTGCTTTTCTATCTCTTAGGCAGGACTCCAGAGCTGGTCTTGCAGTAAGGTTTAGCACATTTGGGTAATGACATGAAAACTGGTTGTAGACAACATGTCTTCTAATTTGGGCTCTTTCAAAGGTCAGGTTGAATGTCATTATCAATTACACGTCTGGAGGAAGACACCATCAGTGTAAGGCAGGCAAAGTTAAATGCCTAGACGGCTTCCACCTTCCTTAGGAATCCCTCCTCCTCCCTCTGAGGTGCTTCTGTGTCATGGGCCTGGTTACTCATCTTAGTTGAGTACTACTGTCTGTTACTGGTCTTTATTCTGAACATCCTCAGAGAACATGGTCATTGTAATCAAGTCTTCTGGAAACTTAGTAATTCTCAATATTCAGAAAAGTTGTTTTCTCTTTGTTTTATAGGTGGGATTTATTTTGTATTTGTGACTGTGATTAATCTGGGGACAAAAGGGCTCCTGGTTTGGCCCTCCAGATCATACATTGAGCAGCCTCTTTGTCGAATGCTAAAGTCCTACAGAGCATCGTTAAAAATTACTGGGCTAGATCCCGTGAAGCAATGACCTTGTATTCTAAGGCTGATCTGGAGATAGGCTGAACAAATCAGAAATAACTTTCAGTGTACAAAGTTATGTTAAGTTATCCCCTAGAAAGTGCAGAGAACTAAAAGAGGAGAGACAGAATGGAAGGACTATAAAAAACAAGACTCTCTTGCTAAGCATGCTAGGACAGAGGTGTTGAGGCAGTTACTGGCAACAACTGAAAGAGAATGAATCATAAACTATGAAAACGATTGGAGAGAAATATAAACGGATATAAACTACCCTGTCCTTAGTAGTTTTTGTTGTTGCTGTTGTTTAACTTTACGACTTCCATATACAAAAAAAAGTTAATGACTTATCCGTACTGATTTAGTGAGACATTGTGGTTTTATATGAAATGCATTTGATGGTCTATCCTTGACTTTTGTAGATTTCAGTATCACAAGAGGCTAAATGTTAGACCTAGATAGAGCATGCAGGAAGCTATCAAGGAAGAGAAGAGTCATAGTCCTAGGAAGAAATTGAAAATCATTTAGGATTTGCCCTGAAAGCCTTTCAAAATGATTGGAATGTTACAAGATCCAGAATGTAAATTACACTAGCATAAGTATCTGAATATATAATCTCTAAATGTCTGGGTTTAATTTAGCTTTGGATGAGCAACCATGGAGATCTCTAGAGCAAATCTAATTTCTCTTGCAGGAAGCAAGATCAGTGGACCCGGAAAAACATAAAAGATTACAAGGATGACCCATTTTGGAGACATATAGGCTATATTATGACACAACTGAATGGGCTGTATGTAGGAGCAATGAGGAGGGCTAAGTTAGAAAGGACAAAGGTAAGATTTTTTAAAAGCTGCTCAGAATTTATATTGGCATTTGGCAATATTATTGCCAAGAATATTGAATATTGAAAGTTATCTTTAAAATATGACAAGAGTATTGAAAGAATGGCAAGAATACTGAAAATTACCTTTAAAATAACATTGCAACCTAGAAGCAGATCAAATTATGACTAGCACATAAATTTCTTGCACACAAGCACTGTCTTGTTATATTGCTAGCACCTGACTCAGTGACACAAAATTCAAGCTTAACACACAATCTCTTTAGCTCTTAATCTCTTCATAATGCTGTGCTCTGGAGTAGGTTAAAGAATGTACTGAATGAATGTACTGGCTGTTTAACTAACCTAATAAAGTTAGTATCTTTGGTGATATAATTTTCTTTTAAAGATTTTATTTATTTATTCGACAGATAGAGAGACAGCACAAGCAGGCAGAGTGGCAGGCAGAGGGAGAGGGAGAAGCAGGCTCTCCGCTGAGCAGGGAGCCAGACGTGGGGCTCGATCCCAGGACCCTGGGATCATGACCTGAGCCGAAGGCAGCCACTTAACCGACTGAGCCACCCAGGCGCCCCTGGTGATATAATTGTTAAGGCAAAATGTCTAAGAGTACAAGTTCTATGCTTCCCACCCTCTATGACACACATGCGCGTGCACACACACACACACACACACACACACACATTGGACAAAATAAACAAAAAGACAGTTCACAGAAAAGTGATGCAAAAAATTCTTAATCATATGAACCAAGCCTTACTCATAAGTTTAGAAATACACATTAAAACCATCCTGAAACATACTTTCTCTACTTTCTCGCTTGTCAATTTAGCAGAAATTCCAAAATGTGAATGTCTACCCTGCTGGCAAGACTAAGGGGGAAAAAAAGCCCTTTCCCTAAATAATGGTAGTAATACAAAACAGTGTATTTGCTATGGAGAGAAAACTTGGCACTCAGTACCCAAATCGCCTACTCATTTACCCTTTGATCCGGGAATCCCACTTTTACGATTATCACCAAGGTTCACAGGCAAAAATTCAATATGGCTTATGTGCCAGTCTCTTCATTGCAGATAATTTGTAATATCAAAAACACTGAAAACAGCCAAATACATAGAAGACTGGCTGCATAAATGATGTGGCTATAACAGGAATGAGGTAGATCTCCAAATACTGTTATGGAGTGAGGTTCAGGATCTGGTATGAAGTGTAAAAAAGTAAGGTGAAGACCAGTGTGAATTGTTTGTTGCCTTTTATGTAAGAAATGGAAATAAGATGATAGATAGATAGATTGATTGATTGATTTGCTTAACTTGCTAAGAATAGACAACAATGAAAGAATAAATCTAATACTTAAAAAAAAAAAGATTACCTACCAAAAAAGGGAGAAAAGAAAAAGGAGGGAACAAGAATGAAATATACATTTCTCTGAATGTATCTTTATATATATTTGACTTGGGAACCATGTAAATGCTGTTCATAATTATAAAACAAAATTTAATTACATGGAAGAAAAACAGTCCTTAAAATCTTAAAATGAATTGACATGAATATATCTAACTATATATCAAGTTCATGGCATAACCACACAGAAAGTGGTTATTTCCAGTGACCTTAACACAGTTATCACTATACATCCTTAAAGGGGTACATCCTAAGGACAAGAACCACCACCATAAAACAAAAACAAAACAACCTTAAACTGTAATTCAGTAATCTCACTTTAGCAATAATATTAGTGTTGTTATTTTAAAATTTTATAAATATAGTAAGATAAAGCAAATAAATAAATATATTGAATATCAAGATTTTCAGCATAAGAAAAGTCAATGAAGTTGAGACCTTGTAGTTTTTAAAGTTATAGAGGCACAAGACAAAAAAAAGTACTAGCCATGAAGAAAAATATAAATTCAGCTAATTCAATTTCTTTTCATCAGAAGACACTATATAGAAACTGGAAAAATAACCTACAAACCAAGAGAAAATATTTGCAATACATTTAACTAACAAAGGGTTTGTTTCAGAAATATGTAAAGAATAACAAATAAATTTAAAAAAAAATACCCAATAGAAAAAAAAGCAATGGGCAAAAATATCCACAGGAATTTCACAGAAAAGGAAACAAAAATGGCCCATAAAAATGTGGAGAAATGTTTAATTTCAATAAGATACACAGATTAAAACCTCGATGAGGGGGGCCCTGGGTGGTTCAGTTGGTTAAGCATCTGCTTTCAGCTCAGGTCATGATCCCAGAGTCCTGGGATCGCCCCAGAGCGGGGCCTCAAATTGGGCTCCCCAAGGGGGTCTGCTTCTCCCTCTCCCTCTGCCACTCCCCTGTTTGTGCCCTCTCTCTTGCCCTCTCGCTCTCTCAAATAAATAAAAATCTTTAAAATAAAAGTAAATAAACAAATAACCTCAATGAGATTCTATTACACACTGGAAGTGGGAAATCTTAACCACTGCTGGATTGAGTAAATTGTTCCAACTGCTTTGGAAAAGGATTGGATGTTACTTGAAACATTTAAAGATAACATATGTTCTACAACCTAGCAAATCCACTCAGAGATTAAAGACATTCTTGTACATTGGGGGGTCTGTGTACATAAAAGTTCAAAGTACCATTGTTTTGCTGCAAACTGGAAATACTCCAAATGTTCATCGTAAGTATATCATGGTACCATATATTCATATAACTGAATACCTTATAGCAACGAAAATGAATGGGCTGTTTCTACACTATCAACATTGATGAATGCCAAAAAAATCATGTTGAACAGAAGAATGTACACAATATGATTCTATTTATACAAACACAAAAGCAGGCAAATTTAAAAATACACTGTCTGGGGATATATACACAGATGACAAAGTAACAGAAAAGCGGGTAATGAGCCACACAGAATTTAGCAGAGTGGTTACTGCTGGTAAGGAGGGCGATGAGATTGGAGGCTTCCAAGGCACAGTTAATGTTTTATTTCCTAATCTGTCAGGTTGGTTCGTAAGTGTTTTTTTTTTCTTCCTAAAATGTGCATGTGCATCTTTATTCTTTCATATGTATGGTATCATTCTTAATTAAAAAAATAAAGGCGTTGGGAGCCTGCTTCTCCCTCTGCCTGCCGCTCCCCCTGCTTGTGCTCTCTCTCTCCCTCCCTCTTTCTCTCTCTCTGACAAATAAATAAATAAAATCTTTAAAAAAATAAAATAAAGAAATTAAAAAAGCAAAAAATTAAAGGCAAATTAAAAACTGAAAAATAGTATTTGTAATTCATATCAGGCAGTGAACTAATCTTCTTAATATTTAAAGAACTCCTAAAAGTTAGTAAGAAAAAGATGAGAAAAATAAATAAGGCATATGAACAGTTTGCAAAAAAAAAAACCAAACAAAAAACAAAGGTTTTTAAACATGCTCAGCCTTATTCCTCATAAAAGAATTGCCAATATAAACTATAATGAGATACTGTTTTTTGCCTATCCAATTGGAAATAAACTCAATATGTTGTTGAGGCTGGAAGAGTGTCTATTAAAAAAAGCCCTATGAAGACAATTTGGCAACGTCTATTAAAATCAAAACCAGTTCTAGGTATCTATCCTACAGGTGGACTTACACACATACAAAATCATGGGTCCAAGATGGATGCAAAAGACTAGAAAGCCCCTGAAAGTCCATCAGTATAATCCTGGTTAAAATATAGTGTAATCCATTCAGATTTTTACATCTAATATGGAAAGATTGCCAAAACAAGTGAAAAATATTAAGAGAAAAAAAATCAAGGTGAAAAGTAGTGCATATAATACACTACCATTTGTGTAAGAATGTATTTATAAGACATGTTAAAAAGTCTGGAGAAAGACACAGAAACAAATAAAAGTGGTAAACTGGAGACAGGGTGGTGCCCGAGCAAATGGAGGAGTGAGGAGCATTTCCACTACAGATCTTATCATAATTTTTTCTTAACGATTTATTTATTTGAGAGAGAGAGTCGGGGGGGGAGGTGCAGAGAGAGAATCCCAAGCGCGGAGCACGATATGGTGCTCAATCCCACGACCCCGAGATCATGACCTGAGCTGCAATCAGGAGTCTGATGCTCAATCAGCTGAGCTACCCAGGCGCCCCATCATAATTTTTTAAATTTTGAATAGTGAAAGTATGACTTAGTCAAAGGACAACACAAAGAGAATATGCATATAAATAAATAATCAGGTTCTGGTTTTTGCTTTTTTTGCTTTCGTTTTCCAGTTAATATGTCATTGGTGTTTGTCTTTTCACCAACTCTGCCTAAAAGCCAATTTGTAGATGCTCAGCCCCAGGCTACTCTGGTGGACTGACTTTTGCTGGCACAGTGCTCTCTAGTTGGCACAAAGTTCATGTTCAAGTCTGATCTTTGCTTTGAGGTAAATGCTGTCGAGCCAGTTAGTCCTACCATGAAACCCACAATCAAAATCAAAAAGTATCTTCATTGAATATTTTGCTGTAAAGCAGTGATTCTCAACTGTGGGCAGTCTCCCTCCAGAGCATAATCAGCAATGCCCGGAGACATTTTTGGTAATCAAAACCGGAAGGGTGTTACTGATACTAATGGGGAGAGGCCAGGGATGCTGCTAAATATTTTATAGTGCACAACCCCTCTCAAGGAAGAACTATTTGGCCCCAAATACCGCTAGTGTTTTGGATATCAAAACATGCCAAAACATCTCTTACAAACCGTAAGGTAATAATTATTTTGTAAGCTACAATAATATCTAGCGCATTTGTTCCATTAGGGACCCTTCCCAAATGAACAACTGAACAGATCCCTGACAACAGGAAAACAAGAAAATGACATCCAACTGTCATAAATCACTGTTAAGAGCGGTCTTTGTCTTTTCCCCAGCCCATGACCCTGTTCCAGATTCAGTTCCTGAATGCCGTCGGAGATCTGTTGGATCTGATTCCCTCGGTTTCTCAAACAAAAAATTCCAGCCTGAAGGTTTTTAAAAGATGGGACATGGGACATTGCTCTGCTCTTATTAAGGTGAGACACATAGCAGCCTCTGCCTTTTTCCTTGCTTCGGGCCACGTGGACTTTTTCTATATATCAACCCAAGTGTGGCCACATCTCAACCCTGGCTGGAGCCATCTATCAGCTCATGGGTCCTCTGTCTAGAAGTTAAGAATTAGAAGGAGCTGATGGAGGGAATTGAAAGTACATGATGTTATCCCTGTTTCTTCCACCATTCCTCATGCCATATGCACCTGCCACTCCCACCTCCCACGGCCTTCCATTTTGGATACTTGAAGGACAGAGTCTGTCTGTTTTGTGCATATTAGAGGTTAATGTTGTGCTCCCTGGCCACATATTCTGATAATAAATATAGCAATGAACACCCAAATTGACACAATCCCTGTACACTTTCTACACTTGTAGTCAGTTATCTGTATACCTCTGCGTCATTCACTATGCTTCTGGCTATAGGTTCTTCCCGGATTTGAGAACATCTTTTTTGCTCACTCAAGCTGGTACACATACGCAGCCATGCTCAGGATATATAAACACTGGGACTTCAACATCAAAGATAAAGACACCAGCAGTTGTCGCCTCTCTTTCAGCAGTTACCCAGGTAAATAAATTTAGAGGGACATCGGAGTAACTCTGAGTATTCTTTCAGAATGAAACCTTGGTGACTCAGAGTAACTGGAATGGGAGAAGAAACCTTTAGAGGTTAGTGTGCATGAATGAAAGTTGATTTTCAGAATGCCTTTTGAAGAAATACTGCTCTAGTGCTTTTATTTAATGGAATGGTGTAAACAAAGTTAATAGCTACCGAAAATTCACTTCAAAAAATGCCAAGTGAGGTACGAGGCACTTTCCTAGGCTCTGCGGTGGAAGCCAGGTTGGGCAACAGAGAGCCTGCTCTAGGTATCTCCTCGAGGGCCTCTTTTATTCGTCACAATAGCCACAGCACTTAATCTAGTGTGTGGCACTTTGTACTTAATCAATTTTTGCTGAATGAATGGATGAATGAATGTGTAAGCTTATAAATCTTACACTAACAGGATAAGTACAATACAGATAATAATGGTATTATTACTGGGTACTGTGTGTGCTATAGCCGAAATGTAAGGAATGTTGAGAGTATTCAAAAGAGGGTCAGCTCATATTGGATTGTCAGGGAAAGGAAAGAGAAGCTGACACTTGAGATGAACCATGAATGAGGACTAGAATTTGAACAGGTAGAGATGGGTGGGAGGGACAGTCTCTGTGGAGTAGGAGTTGCAAGCTCCTATGCTTGAAGGGGCCGGGCAGATGATGTAAAATGGATAAAGGGGGGCTGGTATAAGAAAAAAAAAGGGAAAACAATTGTAGCAAACACATGACCCATTGAAAGGGCGCCAAGTGCTCGGCTCCCACTGACTGTTGTCACTCAGCAATATGGAGGTAGCATTGCCAGATCCTCCAACTTCTGAAGATAGAAATATAGATTTAACAAAACCCACTGTGTGAACCTAACAAAACATGTCTGCTAGCTGGAATGGCCCCCTCAGCGTTGGTTTGCTGCCTCTTCAGGGACCATCATGGGTAAAGGCCAGGGGAAAACTCTTACCAAACATGTAAGAGTCCAACACAGATACAAGGTGGACGCTTCTGACCTTTAATTCCATAGTTGTAACTTACAGGGTGGTTATACCAACCACCTGTTTTATCTATCTACCTTTGTCAGAGTCTCATCACCCCTTCTGGTATTATTATTCCCGGTAGTATTAATACCATCCTATTAGGAATTCTGATCAGTGACATAACCCGGTATCTCTCTGTCCTTGTGACCTGATCCTTCCTTTGAAAACACTGATTTCATCTTTGTCATTGCTTGCTGAATTGTTTTAAAAGTAGGGGGGGGGGGCTGGGCACTCCTCTCTCAGAGTTAGACTGTGTTTTGACTTCTTTGTATTCCTTCAAACTGAAATTTAAGGACAGCAAGAGACCGAGGCCAGTCAAATATTCATATTCTTCCTCTCATTTGCAGTAAAATGCAATGTTCAGATGTTACCTGCACTGCTTTGAAATCTCTGCAGAACGGTGTTCTTCCATAGTCTTAATAATCCTGGATCCCAGAGGTAGTGATGGGGAAGGAATTTCCTATGAAACGTATAAGTCTGTTCACATTTGCACATATGTATATATCTTTCCAGAATAGATACATAGATAATAGAGTTTTTTTAGAGCATTTGAGAGAAAACAAGACTTTTTTTTAAAACCCAAGATGTTTTGGGCGCCTGGGTGGCTCAGTTGGTTAAGCGACCGCATTCGGCTCAGGTCATGATCCTGGAGCCCTGGGATTGAGTCCCACACCGGGCTCCCTGCTCAGCAGGGAGTCTGCTTCTCCCTCTGACCCTCTTCCCTCTCGTCTTTTCTATCTCTCATTCTCTCTCTCTCTCAAATAAATAAATAAAATCTTAAAAAAAATAAAAAAATAAAACCCAAGATGTTTTTACAGGAGCTACTGTAGCAATGTGATTCATATTTTCTTTAATTGGACAGTTTTGTTCTCAACAGCAAACATGAAAAACATGTAGGGTCTCATTTCTATTACAAAGAATCGTTTGATTAAATCAACAATTTAATCGTTTGCCCGCCACTTTGGATTCTTCCAATACATATGGAGCTAAGCTTTGCCGTGAACTTCATTCCCTGTGCGCTGTTGATCCTGGAACAAAGCTGGGGTGGCTTGTTTGTTTGTTGGTGGAGGAGTGCCGTGGATTAGGAGTGTGGTATCAGGACCTGGAGGTTCTTCATGATACAAGCAAGGGTGTTAAGAATTACTGAGTCAGAGCAGAAATAATCAAGTCATGAAATATTTGTGACTTGGCTGAGACCCATATTAAAGATGACAACTGGGATAGTATAGAGACCATTATACTAAAGATACAAATAACTCTGAAGATTTCCAGAGCACCTATCCATACTTTTATAATGCATCATGACCCCCCCGCCACTGCTGCCCGATTCTGTGGAAGTGACCACCAAGATGATTGCCCTGAAAAACACTAAAGCTTCAAGACACAAAGACTTTTTTTTTGTTTTGAGGTTGTCCAAAAGGAAAATGATAGAGCTGGGAAGCTGTAAACCGTTCCTCCACATACGAAATCCAACAATTTTACTTTGGGAAGCCTCAGTTTTCTCATCTAGAGAATGAGACTAACATAAAGGCTGACTTCATAAAGTTGTAAACATTATGTAATTTATTTATTCGTCTACAGTTTTCTATGAAATTGTGTTAGGCAAAGTATTTATGACAGGAAACACGACAGATGCAGTCCCTATTCTAATAAAATTTGTATTTCGGCAGAAGGGACAAATAAAAAAGCAATGATTAAAGTGTGATTTATGAAATAATAGGGAAGACTAGTTTGGGGATGTTGATCTTCCAAGAGAAAGTAAAATTTAAGTTGAGGCGCAAAAACAAGTATAAATTAGCCAGCAAATGGGGACAATGGGGCAATAAAATGTTCCATGTGGGCCAAGCAGCGTGTGTAAAGGCTTGTAGGGCAAGAAAAAAAATGTGGAGAAGGCCAGAAAGACGGAATGGAGGACAGTGAAGACCATTCAGGTGACAAGTGGCAGAAGTGACATTAATAGATTTGCATATTAGATTTACCTGGCCCACAGGAGAGGCGGAGGACGAGACAGGTTGCCAAGAGAACATTTAGAAGCCTGAGGCAATAATCCAGGTGCCTCAAGCCATGTAATGTTTTGTAGATGGTCAGTCCGGATGTGGAGGGAAGATTGAGCTCCATCTTCAAGAAGAGAACAATATCAACAATGACTGCTGAAGTACTCCAGCAAGTCAGGAATTTCTATGGGCTCCTGTTGTCCTAGCCAGAATCTTTGAGATGTAATGACCTAAATGGGAGTTGTCAGAAGGGCACTCCCAAAGTCGTAGTCCAGTGTAGGACAATAGAAGAAACAGTAGTAATCCAGCACACTCAGATTTATCTAAGTCAGTCTCATGCTTTGTGTTCACCAGAGCCCCAGGTGACTCCATAAAAATGGAGGTGGTTATGTCAAGGAAACAAACTGGTATAATAACTCCCATCTTAATCTAGAAAAGGTAAGGTGACTTGGTAGCTTAACAGTTTCCATCTTTTCCAGACTGTTTTTTTTTTTAAGTTTTATTTATTTATTTGACAGAAAGAGACACAGCGAGAGAGAACACAAGCAGGGGGAATGGGAGAGGGAGAAGCAGGCCCCCCACCAAGCAGGGAGCCCGATGCGGGGCTCGATCCCAGGACCCTGGGATCATAACCCGAGCCGAAGGCAGACGCTTAATGACTGAGCCACCCAGGTGCCCCCAGACTGTTTTTTTAAAAAAAAAACTGAGTAGGACTTTCCTTTACCCTTGGGGAAATTATTTCACCTGAAGATACTAACATGAAATGCCCTGAGAAATTCAAAAGTAGACCACAAGTGTGCCAGGTGCTAATAAACCTCGGGACTACCCTCAGGCTCAGGTGAGTGATGTTCCAGCTTTGAAGTGCTGTCCTCAAAATTTCCTAAGTGCCCCATCCGGCGCCTCGAGACCAGCCAGGTTGGCAGTACTAGGGTATCCTGGAGCCAGCCTGCGTCCCATGTGTCTTATTTAGCGGGCGCCTGGGTAGCTTAGTCAGTTAAGCGTCTGAGTTTGATCTCAACTCAGGTCTTGATCTCAGGGTCTTGAGTTCAAGCCCTGTGTTGGAGCCTACTTAAAAAAAAAAAAATTGTCCCCACCCCATGTATGTCTTATTTAGGAAGCACTTTTTTTTTTTTTGATCTTTCAGTATTTCTTTCTTTTTTTAATTTTATTTTATTATGTTATGTTAATCACCATACATTAGAAATTTTCCAAAATATCCTTCTAGGGCCCAGGACTAGCCAGAAGAGCAGAGCCATCCAGGTGGGGCTAAGCTTAGACAGGAACCCGTGTGGCTCCTGGTCTTTGGATGTCCCTTTTTTGAGAGCTCTTCCCCTCCATCCTTATCCATACATTCAACAAGATGTTGCTCATCAACATGGGACTCAAGCCGATGGGATGTCCTGGCGAGCAGATAGATCCCTTCTGCTGGCCGTCACAGTATATTTGCTGCCTGACTGAGCTGACAGAATGTTGGTGACAGGATGATTTGAGGTGGCCCTCATGTCAGACACCGCATGTGGTCAGGGCTCCAGGCTATCGAAGGTCGCTCTTACCCTCGGGCTAAAGTGTGTGTGTGGACCTGCCTCCCTTCAACACGACTGGAGCGTGGCTGAGGAGGCAACAAGGGAATTTACAGTAGACTCCAGTGCTGGCCCCTCAGGTGGTCACCTCACCCCCTGCAGCCTCTGTAGCACATGTTTGGCAGTCCTCTGCGGCTAGGCCTGGCCCTTACAAAGGCTTTGGAGAATCTCACTCCACGACACAAACAGACTTTGCAGCAGATCTCATGCCCCCATGAGGTAACTTCCTACTCTTTCAGGCCAGTCTTCAGCTGGATGGATACTCCTTGGGAGACTGGGACCGCCCTTCTGGCTCTGCCCACTGGCTTCTCACCTGTCCTGCCCACACGTGGGGGTGTGTGGAAGGCAGGGTAGAGTCGGTATGGAAAG